TTCTGAGTGTACCCTTTTGCCACAAGACGAGCCTTGTAGGTCTCAACCTTACAATCGGGGCCCTTCTTCCTCTTATAGATCCATTTGCAACCAATTACTTTTACCCTAGGGGCGGATCTACTAGAATCCAGACTCCAATGGTCTCCATTGAGTCAATCTCAGCTCTCATGGCATCTACCCACTTCAAAGAATCTATGTCCAACATAGCTTCCATATAAGTCACGGGATCCTCCTCACTGGTCGTAGTTTCTACCCACTTCAAAGAATCTATGTCCAACATAACTTCCGTATAAGTCACGGGATCCTCATCACTGGAAACCCGGGTAGATCTTCTAGGTTGGCCATTACCTGGAACTTGTGGGACATCTCCCACTGACCCTGAGCTCTCCTCATCAATAACAACTTCCTGATGATGATTGTTCAGGATGTAATCATCCTCCAAGAAATGGGCATTCCGGCTACAGAGCACCTTCTGTTCTCCCGAGTCATAAAATAGGTAACCGACAGAGCCCTTGGGGTAGCCTACGAATAGGCAACGGCTGGTCTTGGATTCCAATTTGTCCGCACTCGTTCTTTTAACATGTGCCGGACAACCCCAAATCTTCAAGTGTCTCACATTTGGCATCTTTCCGGTCCAAAGCTCATAGGGAGTCTTCGGAATCGATTTGGTTGGAACCCGGTTTAGCACGTATATCGCAATCTCCAATGCAAAACCCCAAAAAGATGTGGGTAACTCTGAGTGCACGAGAAATAACCGGACCATATCCAATAAGGTCCTATTCCTCCTCTCTGAAACACCGTTTAGCTGTGGTGTAGCAGGAGGAGCTAACTGCGATACTATCCCGTTGACCTTCAAGTAGTCCCTGAATTCGTCAGAGAGATACTCGCCAGCTCGATCCGATCAAAGGGTCTTAATTTCTCTCCCTAACTGCTTCTCAACCTCTTGTCTAAACTCTTTGAACTTTTCAAATGATTCAGACTTATGTCTCATTAGGTAAACGTAACCATACCGAGAATAATCATCGGTGAATGTAATAAAATAAACGTGCTGATTACAAGTCCTAACACTCATGGGACCACATACATCAGTATATATAAGGTCAAGCGTGCCTATACCTCAGGTCTCACCCTGGCAGCTGAGACAAGCCACCCCAACCAACTTGGCGGCACATCAGTGTCAACCTTAACAGGATAAATCTCCCCAGATCTATCCAACGGCTGTGAACATTCTAAACTAACACGTGTCTCATATCTGTCCAGTTTAAGGGTATTATAAAGAAACACTCCACAATAACATGAATCAAATAAATGTCATAAGATACATCATAAGAAACACACCAGTTTAAGGGTATTCATTTACAATAAATGTCATAAGATACATCATTCTGATTGGAGCTAAGGGCATACACTGTCTAACACTAATGTGGTGGAAAAAGTGCACCTCCATTAGTGCTCCTCATTTGGGACAGATCACTACTCCCACTAGCAGTTTCCCTGGCTTCACAACTAAAGAGTAGCCATCCTAAATCAGGCTATGCCTTGACTGAAACTCCTTTTCCACTTCCTCATTCACAAAGTATTGCTTCTGCCCTTAGTGTCCATCTTGCTCTTGGACCATTGACTTTAGAGCTTTTAAAAACATGGCTAGTTTATTTTCTTTATTCACGTCTTTTTTTTTTTTTTGATAAATGAGAGATTTTATTCACATGACATCCAACAGTTACAAGGTTGGAATTTGAAATATTAGCTGGTCATACTTTGTTTACTGTGGCTTACAATATAGAATTTAGTCACTGATAAGAAAAATAAGATATCATTTAAGTAGGTGCTAGGTAGATCATACACAAGCAGCTGATCTTAGGGTCCCAAAGGCTGAATCCTTGTGGGGAAGTTAATAGACAAGACACATAATAGTTACAATGTTGAAATTTGAAATATTCTTGATGAACAGTTGCAATTTGGAACTCTAGCTGGTTATTTTTTGTTTACTGTGGGTGGCATTACATAATTCAAATACTAATAAGAAAAATGCGTCATTTAAGTGGGTTAGGTAGTTCCCCTATTTGTAGTTAATCATGAGTACGGACTGCATTTATATGTTTATATAAGAATTCAAGATTTCTTCTGCATCTTTTCTTCCTGATAAATATTCTCTTGAAGATTTATACATTAGCTGGTTATACCCTTTTTTATTTTTATTTCTTTATCAGCAGAAATAATTTATTTATTAGAATTAATTAAGGAAGTAGTTAATACAATTTGATGACAGGAATGTCATCCCCAAAGCTTTCAGGCCACAGTTACATAGAAGCCCAACAACAGTTAATAGGTCATCCCAACAGCACAAAGTGCATCAGATTACAACTTTGCCCAAAACAAACTAGGTCTGCCTACTCCTTTCTTTGCCAAAATATCTGTGAACCCATTTGCAGTCCTTATACAGCTAAAACTAAAACTATAATTAAACCTCCTTGCTAGGATATCAATTTCCCTGAAAACATGTCTGTATTTCCAAGGAGCTGAATTGAAATTCTTGGACCAAGAAATGACTAACTGAGAATCTCCTTCAACTTCCAATTCCCTTACTCCGAGCTGTACTGCAAGCCTCAATCCTTGTAAGAGAGAGAGGATTTCAGCCTGGACTGAAACTCCAAAATCAATTGGTCCTGAAAGGTCTAAAGTTTTTACCCAATGTGCTGTTCTTACTGTTATGGCTTCAATCAGTTCCTCCTTTGAAAAGATATCATGCACCCACACATAAAAGAAAGCACCAACTACCCTCAAACTTATACCCAACTCACCCCATCAACATCTCAACAAGAGAAAAAAAAAAAAAAGAAAGAAAGAAAGAAACACACCCCTAAAACTCAAAGAAAGGACATAGCAATACCCACCAGAGAAACACTCAAACCCACTACTAACAAGCATGTTCATATCAAGATTGGAGCTTTTTGTTTGGATGTGTTTCATAATAAAATTAATACTGTGGATCTTTTACAAAAGAAAAAGGTCTAATTGGTGTTTATCCCCAAATTGATGCATTTTTTTGGAAAAATGCCGATGAGGTGTGTCACCATTTACTAATTTCCTGTTTTTTTTTTTTTTGTTACTCACAGTTGGGAGTGATTTCTCTCATTATTTGGGTGCAACCGTGCAAATAGAATCCTCCAATGGGCACAACTAGCTTATTTTGCTCAGCGACTCTCATGTGGCCAAAGAAAGGAGGAAGAATCATGTGGAGATGCACTAGAGCAACAATCTATACATTTTGGGTGGAAAGAAACACAAGAATCTTTGAAGAGAATAAAAGGAGCAAGAGGGTCTTTATTGAATGTATTAAGATTAGGGTGATACACTAAACCAAATCTGTAGATATTTTCTCTTCTAACTTAACTAATGATAGCATAAGAAAGTTGGGGGAAGTGGCAGCCACCTCCTCTAAAAAGACAGTGGTTCAAATGTGTTGGGCGCCACCTAAAGAAGGATTCATTAAGTTTTTTCTTAAAAGAAAATTTTATTAGAAGGAAAGAAGAAAATACATATAGGTGAAAACAAATGATGCACCCACACATAAAAGAAAGCACCAACTACCCTCAAACTTATACCCAACTAATCCCATCAACATCTCAACGAGAAAAAAACAAGAAAGAAAGAAACACACCCCTAAAACTCAAAGAAAGGACATAACAACACCCACCAAAGAAACACTCAAACCCACTATTAACAATACCACTACAACCTCAGCCATTAGATTCCATACCCTCACCACACTCCAATGAAACTTCTCAACATTTGCTTTAAAACTCTACTACTACATACTCTCAACCGGATAGACTTTGTTCCTCAAGTACCCCCTCCTTGCATTCTTCACCTTCTTGCTAGGCCCAACACCATAATGTCCTTTTAATCTTGCGAAGACGTGAACCATTTGCTGAGACTTTTTACTCATGAATATTCTAACAATATTAGGAATTATTTTAGCATTTTCTTCACCCTTTGTATGGTATGTTTTGCCAATATAATGAGTCTGTTCCTCTGTTGTGCATCTTTTCTGCTATTGTCCCTTTACGAATGCTGTTTTGTTTTCTAGCCCTTGGAATCTAGTTTTTCCTGCAGATAGGTGCAATAATTTCACTGATTTCCTGTTGGTTGTGTTAAATTCAAACCTGTTAAAAACTGTGATAAACAAAATGCTCTCTTGTTTGGCTATTTCTTATTATTTCATTTGGAAGGAAAGAAACAATCATGTTTTTATAAGTACCCATCGATCAATTAGGTCGGTTCTGACCTGTACTCAGAGTATCAAAAAACAAAGAGTATTTATTATGGAAACCTGCAAGTTGTGAATCAGAATTCGAATGTAACGTTTTTTACAAAATCCTGGGGATTGTGCTACTCCTGTGATTCAGTCTGCTTTTCTTATTCAATGTGATAGAGGATGGATGGAAGTGGTAAGAGACACTTTGGTTTCTGTGTAGTATGATTATAGTAAACAATTTCTTTTGGCTGCAGAAGGTCCGTTGGCCTAAAATCTGAACTCGGAGATATCCTGAAAGCTATGGCTTTTGCTAATGAAAAGGGTTGGAGTTCTCTTTATATAGTTTCAGATGCTAAAGCTGTTTTGCAGAAGATCCAAAATCAATTTCTAGATTTTTCTTGGAAATCTAATGGCACTGTGGACCAAATAGTTTCTCTTTCTAAACATTTTAATTAAATTAACCGTATCTATAGGTCTAGGAAGTTTATTCTAGCGGCTCATTGTTGGTTCAGAAAGCAAATTTTTTAAATGATGTTTGCATATGGTGGAATGATCCGCCTGACTGGTTAGCTCCTTTTGTGCATAATTTTGTTCTGATCAACGAAGGGTTTGTTTATCCAAAAAATAATCCCAAATTTTCGAAGGACTTAAAAAAGAAACATTTTTTATGGTAAAGAAGAGTAACGAAAGACGAGTTAAAAAGGAAAAAACAAAAAAAAAAAAGAGAGAAAGAAAGGCGAACCAGATTCGCACTGTTGCAAGGAATCGAGCCGTCGTGGGAGATGGCACTGAGCTTTCTGATGGATTCTCTTCCTTTGAACGAAAACCTTGAATTCTTAACGACAAAAGAACCGAATGAGGGAATCGGCTCCATTGAAGAAATCCTGAACGTAGCCTCCATTCTGAAGATTGATAACGTGTTCTAATTGCTCTGATTATAGTTTCTGTAACCGGCAAAACAAGGGTGAAAAATGAAAATTCATTCCGAAGAGATTTGAATGTATCGCCAGCCGCTCTCTTTCTCTTGTCTGTCCCTTTCCACCCCACACGCCCATCATTTGACGACCGGATGAAGCCCGTAGTGTTCGTGAAAGGCAAACCTCAGATGACACGTTAGTTAACTTCGGGTCAACTTGCTTTTCACACACTCTGTCTCCGTAATCTTACACCTGTTAACGGGCCGGGCCGGGTTCGAGCCGGGCTTTTTCTTTTTATAAATAGAAAATGACCAGGTCCGAGACCAAAACCAAATGATCGATTAGATAATTAATTTATACTATATTAATAATATATTATATATTCTACAATCTTATCTATTGATGGTGGACATGTAGACGTTGTCAACAACACAACGTCTCACTCAGCAAGACAATTCGCCAACTCGACACGTGGCAGCCAGCATCAGCACAGCCGAGTTAGGGCGAGCTCAATCCATAGCGTCCAACATAGAAGAGCAGCTCGCCAAAGTGATATGTGAAAGTCAGCATCAGGTACGCACCTGAGCTGGAGTGAGTTCGCCCGAAACCGTCCTGTTCGAACACCATTATCGTGACTACAGGAATAGTTCACCGAACCGTACGCCGCAGGACTCGCGGGCAACATGTAACCGCCGCACAGATCTAGCAATCAATTAACCAGTACACCCCAGAATTTAAGAAACAACTCTATACAAGGCTTAGAGACATTACCCAACAACACCTGAACCTCAAGTAGCTATAAAAAGACCCCAAGACCACTCCAAAAGGTAGGCACACATAAGATTTCACTTTCTCCCAATTTCTTTGATAGAACCACTCACTGACTTAAGCATCAAAGTGTCCTCCTGGGTAAAATTTACCCAGGCACTCTAACCTCTCTTTTGTTTCTACAGATCTCAGCTCGGATCCTCAACTCGGCTCACTGTAGATTGAACCCGGTCCGAACCACCTCATCAGACATGAGGGAGTGAACAAACCCTATACTTCATCCATTGGTGGACATATTTTGTGCCTCATCACCATATATATATATAGTGAACATAGAAGAATAAAGCTACATCCTCTAGTTTTTTATCGTTCTTCAGTGAACACATATCATGTATGTTTTAGATTATGCTTTCTATTTTTTTGGAGTGTTAAATCCTATTTTTTGAAAGTAAACTCTATATCATTCTTTAGTTTTTTATCATTCTGTATTGTGTTCATAGAAAGTAAACTCTGTGACAACGTTGGAGATATCCTATTTCAATGTTGTCAGTACGTTGGAAATAAAGTTTCGAAGAGATTTACAGATTAGTAGTGAGAATGCAGGAGATAAGTTTTAGGTTAGTAATTTTTTCTTTGTTTTCCATTTTTCATCTTGTAGTAAGTTGTGGAGATAAGTTTCATTTTTCTTTGTTTTTCGTTTTTCTTCTGAAATGCATCGTTTTTCCATTTTAGGTTGGTTTTTCTTTGTTTTTCGTTTTTCTTCTTCCTTGGATTCTGAAATGCGACTTCGGTAACTCTTCTCCATTTCAGGTTGGTTTTCAGGCGCACTTTCCACCAAGAAACACTTCATTCAAGTCGGTTCTGGCCTTTGAAAGCTTAAAGAAATAGCAACAATAAACAAGTATGATTAAACTTCTTTCAAGTCGGTTCAATCATTTCCTATTGTAAATGACACTCAAACCAACTCATTAAAATGTCAAAAATCTGTAAAAAAACGAAAAAATGGTAAAAAAATAAGCGGGCCATTGTAGGACCCGTTTTAGCGTGCATGTGAAGAAGACGATCTAATCAGGTCATCTTCCTTCGAATTACGGTGCGGGTTCAAATATCCGTGTAGTACACAGGTAAAGCATTCCATGTATTACACGGGTAGAGCAATCCGTGTATTATACGGATAGAGCCCGACCTACCAAGGTGACACATAGCCAACTTCTAGAAGTTAGCTAGATGTCTCCAACCTCTATTGGATCATGCCGCACATCCGCGAGCCTTATCCTCATCCCGCCCGAATCGGATGGACTCAATAAGCCTTATAAGCTCACATGAAGTCCACCTCCTTGAGCAGAACAGATTCCTAGTACCATGGATCAGGGATCTCGGAGGTATTTCATAAAGCATACAACAACTCATCTATATAAGGGCATCAACCCCAACGACACAAGGTACACACGATTTATTGCTCACTAGCCTACTTGCGTTCAAACTTTTAGCTCGCACACTAGTTCACTAACTTAAGCATTGGAGTGCCCACGTCGGGTAAGCCACCCCGGGTCCTCTGAGTATTCTTCTTCTTGCAATTCGACCGGCCAACTAAGCGAACTGACATCCAAGCTGCCCTCCAGCTAAGAGCTTCTAGATCGCGCCATCAATTGGCGTCGTCTATGGGAAACACAACATAAAAGCTAAATCCCTACCTCTTACTTTCTACAAAATTTCAATGGCATCCTCAAGCACTGGAAAGAACGTCGAGATGACCATCACCGAGGGGCAAGATCTACATGCAGTCAACACAGAAGCCTCCTTTGTGACCATTGGACTGATCACGGTCTCACTCTTCCAGGAGTGTCAACACCACAGAACCCTGCATTCCCACTCCAACAAGTCAACACACCCCTGTCTCATGTGAGCGCCGCTCTCCCAGTGGTAGAGCCCTCTGTGGTTCCTACTGGGATAGAAGCACGACAATTCCATGAGCTCGTGTAGAGTGTTCGAATCATGCATTTGCATCTGCAATCTTGGGAGCAAAGATTTGGAGCATGCATGCCACTGCCTCCCCAGCAATATCAGTACCAGCATCAGTTCCCGCCTCTCCAACAGAACCATAACTAGTAGAATAGACATCGTCACCTCCTCGAAGGCTGACACCACCTCGGGTCCCAACCCCACCTCAGGGCTCGACTCCACCTTAGGGTCCAACACCAATTCGGCGTCCATCGCCACCCAGGCACCTTGCAGTTGACTCGTGGAACCAGCCTCAACGTAACCGACAGAGCGATCAGCAGCAACAATCATAGAATGAACAACACCGTCATGAGCAGCATGACCAGTAGCATCGTCGGCAAGACGATAGACAGCCTAGCAACCAGAAGCTCAGAGTGAGGGGTGAGGATCTAGCCCAAGACCCATCCTATCACCTCAGTGACCAGAACCTAGCCCTCATTCACAAGAATGTCGGCCACAGGGACCAGCCCCTAGTACGTGACCATGTTAGAGACCAGGAGAATACTAGGGCCGAGGCTCCAGCCAACACAGAAGTGAATAGCACAAACAAAGGTGACTAAGAAGCGACGCTGCCAACGCGCACGCCGCACCTCAAGTAAAAGTAGTGCTGCCTTGACAGCAAAAGTAGAGAAAAGAAGGGAAGAAGTGAGCTCGGTTGCTGCACAACCAGCTTCAATTGCATTGAGCCGGCCTTCCCCCCTAGCACTTGAAATCCTCTCGGCCCCATGGCAAAGAACTTCAAGACGCCTACCCTGGAAACTTATGATGGAAACATTGACCCGAATGACCATGTCGACAGTTTCCAGTCCTTGATGTTGCTCGCTGGGGCAGATGAAGCTAGCCTCTATATGGCCTTTTCCACGACTTTTAGAGAAACAACAAGATGGTGGTACCGAAATCTACCCCCAATCTCGATCAAAAGTTGGAAGCAGTTTGTGGACCTTTTTACAACACACTTTGTTACAAATAAGAAGTTCCTGAAGTCTGTGACTAGCCTTATGAATGTGGTCCAATGGGAGAACGAGTCCTTAAGGAACTATATTAAAAGGTTCAACTCGAAAAGATTATAGGTACCCAACCTTGACTGCGTCGTGCAGCTCACTATAGCCCATAAAGGAGTCCGCCACCTAGATTTTCGCTGACAGCTCAAGTTGAGCCACCTACTTCCATGGAGGCATTCCTCACTGAGGCAGACAAGTTCATCAAGGCGGAAGAGGCTCTTGGGTTCCGGTTAGAGCTGCACCAGGCCGGGAAAAGGAAGAGGCAAGTAGCAACAAGCATCAACGTTAAAAAAGCAAGTCGGCAAAGAGAAGCAGGTCACCGCGTAGCAGGTGAAGCAGGTCGCCACTAAAAAGCCAGTCACCACCTTGGGGTTCTAGATCAGGTCGGTGATCTACGACCCCCCAGTCTAAAGAACAAACTACACCACCTTGAATGCAAAGCAAGACGATATTTTGATGTCCATCAAAGAAGCCAGCTATGTTAAGTGGTCACCCAGGATGAGAGGAGATCTAGCAAATTATAACTCGAACCGGTACTGCCACTTCCACCGAGATATTGGACACGACACTGAAAGTTGCCATAACCTGAAAGACAAGATCGAGGAGATGATCCACCGTGGCTATCTCAAGAAGTTCATCAAGTATGAAGACATAGACAACCGACCTACCGAGCTATGAAAAGATGTACCAAAGTAGAGTAGGTGGAATGACCGCGACCAGCCACCTCAGAGTCCGCTGGTAGAAGAGAGACTGGTCTGCGAGGTAATCAATATGATTACCGATGGGTCAATCATAGCTGGTTGCAGCACAAATAGCGGGCAAGACAGCTATCTAGGAGTTAGAGCATGAGGACGAGAACCCGTCGAAGTGCCCTTGGGTGGAGGAAGTGATTTACTTCATCGAGGACGATGCTCACGGGATCCAGTATTCGCACGATGATGTGTTCGTAGTCAAGATGGTCATCAACGACTTCGAGGTGAAGCGGATTCTGGTCGATTCTGGCAACTCCGTGGATATCCTTTTCCTGGAAGCCTTTGAGAAGATGGAATTAGAGTGGAAGGACCTCCAGCCAGTAGACACACCTCTAGTCGGTTTCGGCGGAGATGTGGTAAAGTCTCTTGGCAGGGTCACAGTGTCAGTAGCAGCGGGAAAGAAGCCCAACACCGTCCGATTTGAGCACACTTTCCTTGTGGTTTTCATCCCATTCCCCTACAATGCCATTTTAGGATGACCCATCATGCATGTATTTCATGCGATGGAGTCGACCTATTACCTCTCAATGAAGTTTCCAACAAACTACAGAGTAGGGATAGTACGGGGCAACCAGTTGGAATCGCGAAAGTGCTACGTCACTGCGCTAAAGGGAAAAACAAAGCTAGCAGATGACGTTGAGCTAGAGCCAC